GGGCGGTCGTCAAAGGAGTCCCTCCCCCAAACTCCCGCCTTGTGCCAAAGTGGGAATCGAGCTTTGAGTTTCATCAAGCAATCAAACTTGTGACACCTTGTATCTAAACTGGGAGCCTTCTACATGTCGCGACAGGTTGGCTCGCATGGTTTCAGGTATGAAATCGTAGATGTTCACCATACACCAGAGGCTCATGCAAGAAATCTTCAGGATCAGCCCAGCTCGCTTTCGAACTTCCCACGGGCCGAAAATGTCCGAGTCCCCGAGAGGGGAAAAGGCGTGGCTCTCGCGCCCAGCTGCCGAGCCGCTCGTCTCTCCCCGTGCGCAAGTTCTTCTGCTGATTGCCATTGAGCACCACCAGACCTGGGAGCCCGGAGGGACGCTCCGTCGGCCAAGGACCCCCGAAAGCCAAATGGATGTTGTTGTATATATATATATATTTATTTATTTATTTATTTATGTATTTATTTAATTTATTGATTTATGAAACAAACAAGAAAGTCGGCCAAGGAGCCCCGAAAGAAGAAGACAAGAACTTGCTGGTGCTCAGCAGGGAATGAGAAAGGGAATGACCCCCAGAAACCATCCCCCATAGTTTCCTTTGAGGGAACCCCAGGTTCAGTCCCTCATTCCCTGCTGAGCAGCTGCAAGAAAAACGATTCCTCCAAAAATCGGCGGGCGAGGGTTGCCAAACAAACTTGCGCCATTTAGACACAAACTACGGCCGCGTATCCAATATCCACTCAGAGAATGGATTGGGTTGTTGGGGTTCCATGTTAAACTGTAGACTGGCAGCTGGCCAACAGCACCAGACCCACCAGCAGATTGACCCCATAGCTGGCGGTTGGGAATGACGGGGCGCACACCTTACTTGTAAATTAGGGGACCCTTAAATGCAGCATGCGTCCTTTCGGCTTTAGCCCCAGATTCTCGTGCTTTACCAAAAACATGGAACCTTTCAAGGTCATCCTTCCCAAGTCGTGTTTGGTTGACCAGTTCAGGCTCCCTGAGAGGAAACACCACGTTCAGGGGCGCCAAGATTATCTTGAAAGCACCACCCTGGTCCCTCCATAAGGAAGGCTCGGGTCGCCGGCGTCTGAAAGAGTCGAAGGCTGCCGGTTGACCGCAAAGATGAACTCGGGCATACGAATCAAACAATTGTCTATACTTTTTTCCAACAAGGTGGTCCAAAACGTCTCAGAACATCGCCCCCATTCCTATTCTGTCCTGCCCTGGGCTTAGTGTCCTTGGAAAAGCAGAACAAACAGACAAACCTAGAATCTCTTGATGCCCGGAGCCTTTCCACCCCCCAAAGGCGCCCTTTGGGGACAACAAGGCCGCTTGCTCACACCACAATGGTGTAAAGCTTAAACCACCTCCTCGAAAAAAAGTGGAGGGCAGCCCAACCGTGGTGCCCCTGTATGTGTGGTGCTGTATGTGTGGTCATGGGTGCATCTGTCTCCCGTTGAACATGGTATTTCCCGTTCAAGCCCCAAACAAAAACTCTCAGGTCGCTTCCCGTTTGGCCTGCTCTTTGGGCAGGGCTGGTTGCAACCCAACGTCTCTCAACCACGCGCCAACGGACCACCAGCGCCCAACCGCCGGCCGGGGCTCCGCGCTGTCCTTCTTGCTCTTCTTCCCCTTCGCCAAGTCCAAGGCCACAGCCTGCGGAGCCAGACGGACCAGAAGGGCGCCGACGGGGAGTCGCAAGATAGATCTCTCAACCGTGGAAGTGCATGGGAAAAACAAAGGCTTCCTACCCCCCCTTGTGTGGTGTGTTTTTTCTTTTTAAGGATCCAATAAACATCATCCCAACTTGGCCGGATTGGAGGACGTGATGTTCGAGATCTGTTCATGTAGGTATGATTTCTGGAGTTCATGTTTTCGGGGGATCGACCTCGCCCATGTCGTCCATGGACCTCCTTCGGCTGGGTTTCCCTCACCATCCCCCCCCCCCACCGCCAAAAAGAAGAGACAAGGGACAGGTCCCAGTCCCGAAGACACCCGCAGACACTAGGTGCGACACTGAAGACATCCGGATCGCTTCCGCTCAGGGAGCCGTCGTCGAAGTGTTCTCCCTACCGCTTTCCCTGAACCGCTGAATCCTTCGGCTCGAGGGCCGAGAGAAGTTGTCAGCTTCCAGAGGAGAGGGGCAGTTGAGGAAACCCGCGTGGCCCGTGTCCATTGGCGCCTGAAAGGGGCCGAGAGGTCTGCTTCCCCACGTGGCTATGTGTCATTTACCATGTCCCTCACCAGACCTCCCGGCTCCGCAAGGCTCCAGCTCCTCGGCTCCCTTCCGACCAGGTGAATGGGACAACTGGCAGAAAGTCGGGGTGAAACTTCATGTCCACCTACCACTTGTGGATCGGTGGTTTGTTTCATGAACACTCCTAGCCACATCTGAGCGATCAGTCTTCATGCGCCACATGGGAGTTTTGTTCGAACCCCTGGTCATTCCCTCGGTAGATGACCTCACAAGCCCTGATCGAGTGGCTTGGCCGAACAAAGTCCTTCACCACCAGAAGGGTCGCCCAAAAAGCGGCTCAAGCCCAAGAACCCAAGCACCAAGTGAGTTGTTTGCGCTTCTTTTTTTTCTTGACAGCTATGAGTCGTGACATGTTATGAAATGTTATGACATGTTATGACATGTTATGACATGTTATGACATGTTATGACATGCTGTGACATGTTGTGACATGTTGTGACATGTTGTGACATGTTGTGACATGTTCTGACATGTTGTGACATGTTATGACATGTTGTGACATGTTATGACATGTCAGGGTCATTCTAAATGTCTGTTCCTGGCCCTGGTCCTAAAAAGCAAAGCAAGGGTTTTAGAACGACTCGTGCCTCGTGTTTCGCCCTCCGAACCCGGCCGTTCCCCGCCTGCTGCCAGCTGCTCATGAAGCGCTCGGCCTGCAAAAAAAAAAACGCGGAGGACGGCAGGGCAAGCCACAGGCTCCCGTCTTTGAGCCGAAAAGGTTCCAAAATGGCTGGTCAAAAATAGGTGCCCATTTGGGGAACCCTGGCAAATGGAATAGACTAAAACCTGCGGTCGCCTGGTGGTTTGATTTTGACCCACACTCAAATGTGAGTCGATGGTTTCCTGTCGGCGATGCTTGTTTTATGATACAGTTCATGGCGAATGTCATCTGAAAGTTGGCATGAAGAATTGAACTGTTCTCACCGGCGTAACAATATGAGCTCAAACTTGATACAGCTTCAGTAGATGGCTGAACGGGGAATCTGAATGCGTTACATATGCGTCGCATGAAAAGCTTGATTGTCATGTGCGTTAGCGGCAGACTGCAAAAAGAGACTCTTCGTTTGGCCATGTTGTCAAAAAACTTTGACATGTTCCGACCAACAGACCTGAACCAGTGATTTGCTATTGCCCGCGGCTGGAAACAGGCAGTTTCTTTAAAACGAGTTGTTCAGGTCGAACCAAAGACCAACCATCCAAGAGGATTTCCACTACCCCACTCTCGAGGAAGCATAGGGCTGCAACACCATATCTTCGGGCTATGCAACCAAATGGCCCCGAGGGGTAGCGGAAAGCATAGAGACCAAATGAGTCCCGGACGAAATGGCTTGTTTCCCCTAAGAGTGTGTGTGTGTGTGTAAAACTTTGGACCCCTGTTTTGTTGGGTTGAACATTGGTTGGCCCCCGCCCCCTTCCCTTTGTGTTCTCCCCAAACAAACAATCAACCAGTCATCAGATCAGAAAAGTTCATTGCGTTCTGTTTTTGATGGCTGAAAATTAATTAATTAATGCTGGTCCCTTCTCCTCCATCCCTGGTATGAAGGGCCTGCACCAGCCGCGGAGCGCCGCGGCGAACTCTCTCCTGCGAGCGGCAGGAAACCACCGGTAGCCAGCGAACCACGAAAGTCTGCAGGAAGCTGGCGAATGTTGTGATCCTGTGCTGGAAAAGCCAGAGCCACCCTGGAAAGGTTCTGAGGGGTTGGTTCCAACTCCGTCAAGCCACTTTTGGAGGTCCAAAAAGTGAAACTCGAAATCCTATGTTCCTAGGATTTTCTAGGCGTGAACTTTGGTGGGATTTTGGGGGCTGAAAAGTGTTTAACTTGTTTACCTCCAAGAAACATTTGCAAGAAAGGTAGTCTCAAACGGACAACTCCGATTTGTGGGCATGCTGTGGAGAATTGGCCACTTCTGTGATACCAAGACAAAGAAACCCATCCCATGACTGTTGGTGAGAATCATGACTCTCACAGCCAAGTGCGTACGGCCAGAACACTGCTTCCAGCCACTCCCAATAGCTTCACACCCAAACATTGTGCTATGGACTCGGAAAATCCTGATTTCACTGTTTCCAACAATCATGGAATCTGACAGGAAGACAACAGTCCTCTTGAAAGAAGAAATTTGGAGGGCACGGCAATGCAGATGACGCTTCCGAAGCTTCTTCTGACCCCCTGCCTATTGACCCGAAAATAGCCAACTCTTCTCACGGTCCCCGCCAATCAAGTAAGACTAGAGCGAAAAATCGTTGGCGCTTGAATCACCTTCTTTTTCCAGTGAACCAAGCACAAAGAGCCCTGGTTCCTTGCGTCTTCAACCTCGTCCCCATAGTTGCTCGACCTCCGCACTCCCTAGCGTCCTCGCCACAGGTGGCCGCCCGGGCCGGTGGCTAACCTTTGCAGCCCTCATGACGGCTGCGGGAGGAAGCGACGCTTCGGCGTTGCCCGGTGGCTCGCAGGGGTGCCAGCAGTCGAGAAGAAAGAAAAAGGAAGAAGAAAAAAAACTCGGCACAAAGATTGAGGAAAAACTGGGCTGTCCAAATTGATCGCCGGCAAAAAGCTTGTTTAAAAAAAAAAATGCTTCTAGGTGCGGTTGGGCCAGGTCTCCACCATGTCTGAGCAACCCAATGCCGAAACACGGATGGACTTCGGACCCACCTCGTGGTTGATCCCCATTTGAAGCCAAAAACAAACAAAAAACGCCCCCACCCGGCCCTCCACATGGATCCGCTCGCCGCCTTGGCGAAGCCCCCGTAGCTGACACCCTCCTCGACGGCCTCCAGTTCCGCCTGACGAATTAAAAAATCGTCAGGCTTTTCCGCTTGGGGGTCCGTCTCTTTCTTGAAGATAGCCCTGTTGTGTTTGTCAAAAAGTCAAGCCCGAAGAAAAAGATAGAAAGAAAAAACAAGAAACAACAACTATTTATTAATTTGTGTTTATATGTTTTAACCATGTTTGTTGTGATTGTTAAAGTTCAAGTCAAACTCAAAGGAAAAACCCACCATTCATTGATGTGGTTTTAATCTTTCTTTGGGGAGGGGACACTGGGCTGTCCCAATATCTTGACAATCGCTCAGATGCTTTGCTCACCTCCTGTTGCTCCTCTTCTTGAAACAAAGAACACAGGGTCGGTTTTTTTGGGGGCGAAGCGGCCGTTCCCGGTGGATCAGGACATAGGCGCGAGTCGCGTGGTTTGCCCTCCCCCACCCCTCCTCAGATGTATGAGGCTCCCAACGCTGGGAACCGGGCTTCCTCTTGCTTGGGTTTGCTTCCATTTTGGCCTAACCAATACTTGTTTAGAACATTCCGAGCAGCACTAAAGCGGACATCCACTTCTCGTCTAGAATCGATGCAAGAGGTCAGGCCCTATTCAAAGCCTCAGCGTGTCCTTCGGGTGTCAGAGGGTTCCTTGTGTTGAAACCTTCCTATCAGAAACCCCATGGAACTCCTTTCTCTCATGGCAACCCGTGACCTCCATCCAGCAAACGCAAAGCCGCAAAGAGACCGCTCAGTCAAAAAAATTGCAACCGGAAAAGATGATGATGAACAGATCCCTCCAAAGGGGCACTGTAGAAATTTCTTGGGGTTCCTTGGAGTGTTGCCTGACCAAACCTCGGCTGCAATGGGGCAAAGAGCTCTCTGTCCCAAACTGAAACCGCGCTGCCAGCTTGGCGCCAAAGAACCCAGAGGAGGAGCCTGCCCCAACCTTCTATGATTCGGGCTAAACGATGACACATCCTTCCCTTATGATCATGGAGAACATTGTTTTAAGAATGCCCCAAAAGGATCTTCACAGTGTTCTATTTACATGAGTAACCCTACTTTCATAATGCTTGAAGTAACCCTACTTACGGGTAATTGGGGCCAGTCTACTTCAGCGATATCTTCTTCACCACCTAAGGGTGTGTGGCACCAGTCACTGGGGAACAGCCCAGGAGATGATCGAAATAGCGCAAGTACACAAAGCCTATCCCACCGCACACCCATTGCGTTGGCCAGAAGTATGGCACAAAGGGAACCCAGTACCCCCATTGTCAGTGAACTTGCTGCATATTAGAACCCGCATGGTGCATCCAGACCTCCTTGGTCCGCGGTAGTTCGTTGCGAAGGCCCCCCCCCCCGCCCCCAAAGCAAGCTTTGAAAAAGAGGCTTGTCTCAGACCAGGGCACCCTGAAAAGTATTCTTCTGGTGCTCCCCACTAAAAAACATTTCCGCCCACGAGATGGGTCCCAAAACCACAAGGCTGAGGAATTCGGGGTCCCGCCTTGCCATGGGCCTTGACCACCATATGCAGACCCCCGCCTGCCGGCATCCCGCTCAAGAAGCCAGCAGGAAACCAGAAGCGAAGTCAAGCAGCAAGAGCATGGAAGTGCAAAACACGTGGCAGGTACAATGAAGAGCCGACAATTACTACATACCATCTATGCAAAAACATACATGACAAAAAAAAATACAATCACGGCATACTGGAAGTGCAAAACACGTATAAAGTGCATCATGACAAATACTACATGCCATTGTCAGGATATATGCCAAGACTAATCTATGCACCTGCACGCCGTTGGTCTATAGTTGGTGGCGGGGACCAGGAAGCCGGGGACCCCATCCCTTCAGCTTTCCCCAGGGTGGTTTGAAGGGCCAAGGATGGGGGTGCCATGTTTGTTCCCATGCTCTACGAGAACAGGTTCAAAGTCTCAAACCAATCGAAAGCGCCAACTAAGGCTTACGTGGCTTTGAAGGAGAACCAAATGAAGAAACAAAACAGGTCCAACCCTTTCCAGAGAAAGCGGACTTTGCGAATTTGAGGCGTCACCTGGAGAGAAATGGCTGGCTCTGGATTGAAGAGAAAAACATGGTAGGCTGAACAAGCCTAAAGTCAAGAGAAAGATAGCTGAACCATTATAAGCGAACCTGTTTGTTCAACCAAAAGCGGGAAACATGGTCTTTGCAAGCCTTCCAGAAGCATTCTCCACCCTCGAATCGGTGTGAGGAGTACCCTCAAGGAGTCCCTCTGGCAAATGGTTAAAACATGCAACAAACGGCCTGTAGGGCAATACAGGCCCCCTAAATGGTGCAAGGGAATGCCTCACAATGTAGCGCTTGGGTGCGGTGGGTTCACTTGATCGCTCCAGACAACTGCCCCAAACCCCACGATGGTCCCCCCTGCACAGCGGGTGCAAGCCTTTTTGCACATGCAATTGAGTTACAATGATATCAGCTTGTCTCAAACCGCACTCAAAGTGGTTGCATCTGGAAGGGTCAAAATTACTGTGCCTTGGAACCACATTATTGAGGATGTCGCTTAGAACCAGAACCCACCAAATGGTCCTTTCCACCCGCCCCCCCACGTCCCCAAAGGTTGCAGGGAACTTTCTTGTGTGTAGAGGCTCACAAGTTCGGACGAATGAGCTCCAATCCACCATCTTTGATTCACTTGGTTCGGGGATCTGTACAAAAGGAACCCTTCCGGGAGTGAATTCATGTTTGGCTACCGAACTCACTAAGCAAAAATGCTATTTTTAGGTGGACTCCACTTATGGGACTCGACGGGGGTCGTCACGCGCAAAAACTGACATTCAAGTAAACTTCTTTCTCGCCACGGGCAAATGAAAGAAGCGGTTCCCGCAATCCATCAAATAGTTTTTGCTTCCACGAAAAAGCAGTCGAAAAACACGGCAAAGCCTGAACAACTCCCCCCGGAAAGCGAGGAAAGGAAAAAACGGTTCCGAAAATTGACAAAGGATCAAATAGGTTCGAATGGAAGTTGCCCCCCCCCAAACAAATAAGCTCAGGTGATATCCCCAACAGCAGGCGGTGCTCTTTCGTGCTCGCACCACCCCGCCCTCGCACCAATTAACATGGAACCTGACAATCAGGGGTCCCTTTACAAGGAAAATGGTCCAAACCGGGACACCCCTCCCCCCAACGTCAGGTTCCATGTTAATTGGTGCGAGGGTGTCTTTTTCTAACCGGGGAACTAACCTCCGAGCAAACGAACCGGAGGCGAACCGCCTCCGTGCTCCTTGCCGCGAAAGGCCACCACCACCACCCCCTCGCCCCCTTGGCCTCGGCGGTCGGCGTTGTTTTAAAGTTCCAAGCCCCAAGTAAGGAACCTTCGTCATGGGCAAAGTCGGTTTACCCCCGTGCCGCCAACAGGGGTGCGCGAAACAGGTGGTTTGGGGTCCTTTCTGGTGGTTGCTCCTCATTGCCAAATACCGAGGGGATGGGGATCCAGGAAAAACCTCCAAAAACTGGGGAATGGATTCAAGGTGACCACGTGCTGTCGCTTGACCTCTCGGAGCCATCCAGCTGGAAAACCGGGGCAGATCCAGAGGTCAAGCGGCGCGCGAAAGCGCGCGGCGAAAAGCTTACCTCAAAAAACGCATCAAGAACTCCGCTGGAATGTCCGAAAGTCCGAAACTCCCATTTTTGTTATGTGGACCTCGAAAGGTACCCATGAAGATCCGGATAACTCTGCCGGGGGTTCTACTTTGATCGGGGTCAACTTTCAGGTGCTTTTGATGATCCCAGGGATTCAACGGACAACCCAACATGGAAGGGAGCAAATGACCAGGTCTTCTCCTTAGAAAGGATCCCAGGAATTTTGCCAGTGGGTGTCATCCCCGTGCAGCCCGTAGAATTACCATGAAAGCGGAGGATGGAAACCATCCACTTCAAATCCCACGTTTTTAGAACAGTCCCGGCATGAAGAAAGGAGGTATGTCCATTGAAAACCCGGCTTTGTTCAACATCAACCCTGAGAAGGCGAATATTTGGAAGTGGGGAGGGGGACCCCAATCAGTGTGTTGATGAAACAACAGAACAGAGCACAAATGGTTGCTTGATTCGAAAGACGAACCCCCCTCCAGAACCGTCACATGCAATTGATCCAAAAAAAACTAAGAGGAAAAAAACGAATTGTTTGATGTTTAATATGATTATTATTATTATTAAAATAGTATTATTATTATTATTATTATTATTATTATTATTATTATTATTATTATTATTATTATTATTATTATTATTATTATTATTATTATTATTATTAATATTATCATTATCATTATCATTATTATTATTATTATTATTATTATTATTATTATTATTATTATTATTATTATTATTATTAATTATTAATTATTAATTATTATTATTATTATTATTATTATTAATATTATTATTATTATTATTATTATTATTATTATTATTATTATTATTATTATTATTATTATTATTATTATTATTATTATTATTATTATTGTTATTGTTATTGTTATTGTTATTGTTGTTGTTATTGTTATTATTATTATCATTATTATTATTATCATTATTATCATTATTATGATTATTAAGTAAAAAACCAATGTTGTTCTATCAAAACCCAACCCAAAGAGGTTATCTATGAAAACTCCGAACGAGGCACTGACCAAACCGTTCCCCCGCCTCCTGGCTTGCCGTACTCGCTGCCTCGGCCCTTCTCCATCATCTCCACATTCTTTCCCTCCTTCCAAGAAACCACCGAAAAAGATGGGCCGTGGAAGCGTGGGGGAGAAAAAAAATAAGAGAAAACAAAAAGAAGAAGAACAAAAACAAAATGAAATCTGTGATACCAAAACGAGCCCATGACTACTTGATCAAAGGGGATTCCATTCATATCGCCTATTTGGTGGCCCTAAAACCCATTTTCCGAAATAACTTGCTGGGTTTTCCGCTGTAACACCAAGCCCTAAAACTGGAGGATTCATCTTGCTTCTCCCGTTGAGCTCTTGTAAGAGCAATCATGGAAGTGGACAGGAGGGCCTTGGAAGACCACACTCTTACAACATGTAGCTCTTTCCTGCAGAACGGCCACCTTCAACTCCCAGCTTGTCGCCAGGGTGTCGAAAAACCCCGGTCATGAACGCACCCTCCCGAAGGCGGTCAATGCGACTTCGCAGCTGCAGGGCCGGATTCGAGAACTGCAGTGATCTCAAATTGACCCCGGAATGCAAAGCCGCTCAACAGTTGAAATGTATCCGTCAAGGGAGGGTGCTGCGCGGGACCAATTAGCAGGCTGCAAAGGTGTGAAACAACCAAACCTGATTTCTGTCTCAAGGAAAACTACCAGACAGGCATGAAGAATGGTGGTAACGTGGTCATTCAATGGGTGAGCCCCGCAGGTGTTGTTTAGGTGTGTGTGTGTGTGTGTGCTTTCTCACTGGCCTTGCACAACTGCTGCAGTGGGTGCGTTCACATGTGCTTGTCACTAACATGATGTTCAGCGAAAAACAACGCTTGCCATCATCAAGGCAGAAGGCGAAAACCAATGCTGTGCCGTTGCATCAACACGCTGATTGTAGCGGCCACACTGAATGCCCTGCAGACATATGCTGTTTGCTAGGACGTAGTCTTTTCCAAATATTGAGACATGATATCTCGAATCCCGAACAACTCACGGTAACCTGCCGGAATCCTACCATGGAGTTGCTTTGAACTGCGGAGCCGACCCCAAAGCAGCCAAAGCTGTTGGGGAAAAACAGAATGGTTGTCCATGGTTATTCCCTGCTGTTGTCTGGTCAAGGGCTGACATCATGGCCTTAAACCAGCTACTTGGCGCGGCCTTCTTGTCCCAGCCGATGATGCCATAGCAGTCGGCAATGTACACAGGGCACCTGAGCCCCAAACCGACGTGTCCCTAACTCAGTCCCGAAAACTCGGGCCACATCCCTGGCCAGATTGCGGAAAGGACGTTTTGTAATTAAAGTGAGGCAAGTGAAACATACCCTCCGACAAGTCCTGGCAAATAACCCAGGTCAGTCCGCTTGTTCTTCTAGGAATGGCTCTTTTCCTAGGAATGGCTCTATTCTGGAGGACCAGAACCATGGGGGCTTAGTTTAGGGTTGAACTTGGGAAAATTTTGGGGTGGCTTTGGGCTGGCTTTAGGGCTGGCCTTGACCACCCTTGTCATGCCACTCTGCCAACCAACCAACCAATCAACCAGCCAGTTAGCCAAACAACCAACCCGAGCCCCACCCACCCCCCAACCAATCCACCCAACACATAAGCAAAAACCATTGCTAGTAAAACAAAAACGGTACCTCTCAAATGCCCAAACCTCCAAAACCCAAAACCGCGAAACCCCAAAACCAACACCCAAGAACCCCAAAATCAATAACCTGCACCCCAGAACCCCTCCTGGACCTACTCACCAATAGAAGCCGAAAGGAATTACCCAAAATGGCGCGGGTTTGGGTTGGGGCCGCCCTCCCTTTTCTTTGGGCCCCGTAGGGTGCTCCTGATTCTTTATGAGCAAAATATAAAGGTCAACCTGGGAGAAGAGGGCCCATCGTTTCAGTGTTTCCGAAGTGGCGCATTGACAGAGCCAACCAAAAACTACAAGGCCAAAAAGCAAAAGCCGACCTGAAATCGTTCTTGGAAGCTCTCCCCCCCCCCCCCCCCCGTTTTTTCCCGGCCTTTGTGCACACCTTAGCGGCCACCCCAGGGACCCCAGACCTCCAAAACTCCGAAACCCCGAAACCCCGACTCGATCGAGGCGCATGCCGTGGATGCCCAGAGCTCCCCCTGCCACCGAGGCGATGAGCGCCGGGTCCACGTTGAGCCCGAAGAAGCAAAGACCTCGATCGACCGACCGACCCATCGACCCACCGACCGACCAAAAGGCGCTTGAGGTTGATGGAAAATAGTCGCGTCCGATCGATCGCGTTGAGCCGGGGAGAAAAAGCTCGTGGGTCTTTAACAGGGTTCTGGTTTTGATTTATGTCCAACCTGAAGACATAAGCCACCAAGGGACACTCATCTTTCCTGGGCCCAGGTGATCTTCAAAACCAAACAAGGTAATATTGGGACCCCGCTTCTGCGCTCTTGAAACGTATATCAAAAAGATAACGACGACGATGATGATGAGCACCATGATGAGGAGGAAGCTGCTGATGATGATGAAGAAGCATCACTAGGCAAAAGATAAGATGATGATGCGTGATGATGCGTGATGACGCATGATGATGCATGATGAATAATCGCTACGCATCCCCAACATCACCAGCAGGGATGATGACAATGACCACTACTCAAGATGATAATCATCATTGTGCACCCCAGCATCACCAGCTGACTACACATCAAGTCGAGTCTCACGGGACACTTAAGGACAAGATTGATGATGATGATGATGATGATGATGATGATGATGATGATGATGATGATGATGATGATGATGATGATGATGATGATGATGACATCCCAATTCGATTAAAGTCAAGTCAAGGGGAGCCGAGGCTTTTTATGCAACCATCGCATTGCACCCATTTGACCTAGGCACAAGCTGGTAGCAATGTCGCAACGGAGGGCAAAAACAGAGTCACTTGCCATTCCACCAGCTCGGGGGCTTGGTAGTCTTCTAGAGGCTGGAAAAGAAACAAGGGGTTAAACATTGCGAATGGATACCGCTGGTGTCTTCTGATCTGCCTACTTTACCTTTTTGAACAATGCCTGTGCGAAAAATATCTGAAACAGAAACCTACAACCCATCCACTGGTCAAATGCTTGGATGGCTTTAAAGGGCCCCCAAAAGGAAACCCGACTAAAGCGGTGACACTCTGTGTTACCCCTCCGTTTGAGCATACCCACCTGTCAATGTGCTTTCGCACAACCCATTCTCAAGGCCCACAAGCACCTCATTCTCCCATTCTTCAAGGCCCATTTTGAGGATTCTCCCAGTTCTCCCATCCAACTCAAGTACACGGGTCCTTTGGCAACTCCAATTTTCCGGGGGTTTTGTTGGAGCGGGAAAAGTCTCTCCCCAGCTTGAGGACCACCCCCCCATTCTCCCCAATTTTTGGGAAGACACGTCTCCGGAATTGTTCGGGGGTATCCCCCAAAGAATCCATATTTAACCAACCCCCCCCCCCCACGGGGGAAAAAAACAAAAAAACAATGGAGGGGATAACGGTTAACGGGGGCCCTCACGGGGAAGCGACTAACGGGGGCCCCTACAAAAAGCCAACCTGGCCACCTTCCCTTCGGCTCGCTCTGCCGCGCTCGGCCCTCGGGCAGGAGAGGTCGATGTGCGCCGCCAGCGGCGCCACGGCCATGGCCAACTTCCCCGCGTCCATCTTCCCCGGCACCTCGGCGCGAGGTTCAGAACTAAACGCGCGGAACCGAAGGCGAGAGGTTCGTGTTGGATTATCGAGGCGAAAGTTGTCCCCCTTGTGCGGAGGAAGAAAAGAAGGGAAAAGCGCGCACACACAGACACAAACACAAACACAAACACGCAAACACAAGCAAACAAGCAAGCAAGCAGGCAAGCAGGCAAGCAAGCAAGCAAGCAGGCAAGCAGGCAAGCAAGCAAGCAAGCAAGCAAGCAAGCAAGCAAGCAAGCAAACAGGCAAGCAGGCAAGCAAGCAAGCAAGCAAGCAAGCAAACAACCAAACAAACAAAAAGACAAACAGACAAACAGACAAACACACAAACACGCAAACAAACAAACAAACAAACAAACAAACAAACAAACAAACAAACAACCAACCAACCAACCAAGCAAGCAAACAAACAAACAAACAAACAAACAAACAAACAAACAAACAAACAAACACACAAACACACAAACACACAACCACGAACACAAACACAGACACAAACACAACACAAACACAAACACAAACAAACAAAAACACACGCGCACACACACACACACTTTTTGTTGAGGCAAACCCAAAACCCCTGATAAAGAACTGAAGGGGGGGAATACCACCTATGGTTCAGATTGTCGCCCTAATCTCCTAGTCGAGCCAATCACCTGTGGGAGAACTCTGGGATTTGTCCTTGCGGGGCCAAACCCCTGTTACATGTTTAAGCACCTATTAATTGAACAACCTGCTCTTGGTTTCCCTTTCAAGACAAGGGGTTGGTTGTCTAAACCAATTTAGCCCAGCCGGAATTGGAATTTCAGTTTTCGAAAACTCGGTGGGCGCGTGATTGTTTTTGGGGGGAAAGGCCTGAATCGCGGGAAATTTGTGTTTGGAAACTTGGGAACTCTGGGAATTCTCAAATGAGTGGAAATCTCAACAAGGGGGCCCCTCAAAACGGGAATCGGCGGACTTCAGCAGGGAAAGGGGAAATTGGAGAAAAGAGAAAGAGCGTTTGTCATGTACGCTCCGTAAGGGGTCCTTTTACGAGCCCGGAACAAAATTACTTGCTTCCACGTGTGCTCCACAGAGAGTTCAACTGCTTCTGAGACAGCGAACACCCAGCGCCTGCGGCACAAGCAGCTGCCTGTGACGAAGCTGCGAAGCAAACGCCGATGTGGTCAGTGACATCAGACGCCGGGCGCATCTTCATCCACCCTTATGAAGTACTGGCGCGTTCGAGTCGCGACTTTTGGTCCCCGAAAGCGTAGGACTCGATGTGCCTGATCGGCTCACTGGCGAGCCAAGGACGCGAAAAGGAAGGCCTCATGACCTTCGGCCGTGCCTTCGCATGAGTGACCATTGGAAGGCCGGAACACGAGTCTGCCTGGGAAGAAATAAACCTGGGTCAAATCACGGGCCCGGCTTTGGATCTGCTGTGGCAGAAAATGTCCGGGAACAAACACCAGATGTCCAATTGTTTAGCGACTACTCACCTTTGGGAGACTCAACTTGGATTGGCAATCACAATTGCTGCGAGGGGGCTCCCTGTTTTTAAACCCTCCAAACCACCCTTCCGCTGCCAGGTATGGTTTTTTGTGTTTGGGGGGAGCTGCCAACTGTCAAACGCTGCTCACAACATCGGCGGCTCCCCCGTCACTCCGTGGGGGATTAAGAGTCTACGGAGCCCCAGTTGGATCGATCGTTTCCCGCCGAAATGGTGGTCTTATTCTTCGCTTTCTTCCATTTGCCTAAGTCCCCTGATTTTTTCTCAAGTCCAATAGACTCCCTTTGTTGCAGGGGAAAAAAAAAACACCTCATTTCAGCAAATGGAGGCATTCAGTCAGCCGGAAAGACGCAACTCTTCTGAGACGACCCGACTGAGCCCGGAACCAGAAAGGTGTCGATCCGCGCGGCGCGCAGCGATACCGCGGATCGACTCGCGCCGGATCCTGGCTTATCGAGTGGATTGGTTCAAAACCAAACATACAACGGGAATAAAATCCACGAGGCCTTCTGTGGAACCCAAACTTGGGGCTTCCCACGGTTTGGGTGCAAAGTCAAAGGCACTGTGTGGGTTTGTCTTAGAATAGGGGACCCCTCACCCAAAAAAGCGGTGGGTCCTTGTGGCTTTCGCTTGGTGTCGTTACAACCGCTCCCTTTGCAGGGGACCAAAAGAAAGCTGCCATGTTCAAGGGCACTCTGTGGTCCAAACCAGACTGACGCGCAATCGCTGAGGGGGGCTCGCCTCTTCATTTCTCAGTGACAAGGGGAACAAGGAAGACAAGCGGGAAACATGACTGGCATCTGACCGGAGACTGGGAGACACAGGGAGACAAGCACGAGCATCTGGCCAGCGTCACACTTTCACGTTCTTTAAACCTCAAGTAGGACCCCAATGCTTCAATGCTTGGGAAACAAAAGCAGTTGAAAGCCGAACTGACACCAAAGGCTCACAAAGCGCTGTTCCTGTTCCAAATTGGAAAGGAATCCCCAGACCTTGGATGAAATCGCTCGTCTCACCCCTGGATCGGTGAGCTCATGACAAGTTGCAACCAGATTTGCGAGTCGGCACTTCCGGTTTTGTCTTGTCAGTGCATACTCATTGCGACCGGCTTGGGAACCCGAATGACAAATGGAGGACAATCCAATTGATGCGCCTTCTAGTCTTCCTTTTGTGGGGAAAATGGAAACAGAAGTGGGATTCTCGGGGTCATCCCTGTCCCGCAATTCCATTGTTAGTTTAGAGTGACTTGAGAGGTGTGAGAAAGAAAGCTAGCCAGCCCAAAAACAACATGCACGACGTAGTGGTTGCAAGATAGCAAGAAAGAATAGCAACCCCAAATGAACACCCAGAATGCAAGACTGTCATTGAGACCCGACCAGCGGCATAATGAAAAAGCTCCCCCAGCTGCAAAACATGTGGACGAGACTTTTGTGGGTAGTGTTTGGGCGGGGGGAGGGTAGTAGTTGATCTAAATGTAGGGGAAGAAGCAGTGCAGTTTCTTAAGGTCCCCTATTCTTTTCACCTATCGTTCTTTTCAAAAGATACTCATATTTACCCGTTGGTGTGCAAATGATTGAAAAGCAGGGGGAATGCACCATGCCCTGTGTCAACTTTGGCTAATGAAGAGGAGGGCCATACGAATCAGTGGCTGCAAGCCCCCTTTCACCTCGAAACATACGCAATGAGGCAAAATGAAAGAAGCAAAGAGAGAAAGACAAAGAGACTGCGAAAAAGAAAGCGACAGAGAAAGAGAAAGAGAGAGAGAGAGAGAGAGAGAGAGACAGAGTGAGTGAGTGAGTGAGTGAGTGAGTGAGGTGAGGTGAGGTGAGGTGAGGTGAGGTGAGGTGAGGTGAGGTGAGGTGAGGTGAGGTGAGGTGAGGTGAGGTGAGGTGAGGTGAGGTGAGGTGAGGTGAGGTGAGGTGAGGTGAGGTGAGGTGAGGTGAGGTGAGGTGAGGTGAGGTGAGGTGAGGTGAGGTGAGGTGAGGTGAGGTGAGGTGAGGTGAGGTGAGGTGAGGTGAGGTGAGGTGAGGTGAGGTGAGGTGAGGTGAAGTGAGGTGAGGTGAGGTGAGGTGAGGTGAGGTGAGGTGAGGTGAGGTGAGGTGAGTGGAGTGAGTGAGTGAGGGAGCGAGCGAGCGAGCGAGCGAGCGAGCGAGTGAGCGAGCGAGCGGGTCAGTGAGTGAGCGAGTAAGTGAGTGAGCCAGTGAGTGAGTGAGCTACGACACCGGGTTCCTCACAAACACAAGGCGCAAAAAATATCCTCGAGAAACGCGACGGTTTCGAGAAGGCTTCCCCGCATCCCGTTTGAAGACATGGGCCAGGGATCCATTTTGAGAAGGCCGTCAAGGCATCAGCCGTGAGAGATGTGGACAAACGAAAACTCCAGGTATTGCGCCGGAAGAAAGGAACCCACGGTGCCTTTGTGCATTTGTGCCCCCGGGGAAAACATGCCAAACCCAAAAAGTGGCTGCTCAAAAAACCGGCACCAAGGCAAGTGGAAACATGGACCAAAACCCCCGCGTAACCCCTCCCGCCACACCGAACTGAGTGAGTTCCCAAGGGGCTCGGACTCAAAGCTCAGAGCGCTTCCCAGAGCGCCTTGAGCTCGCGCGGCTCTGAACGCGCGCGCGTGGCGCGCGAAAGCGGCCAGGCCAAAGCCTGCGACGCGGATGCTTTGGGGTGACCCATGGAATAGGGCTCTGTGGATGGCCGACATCCTGCACCGCTTTGACCCCAGAAGGGAACCGTCGCGCATTGGTATTTACAGGGGAATCATCAGTCCAGGGCTCCTTAGGTGGTGCAGGATTTCGTCCATCCACAGTTTCACAAGTGGCTTCCTTTCGGATGCGAAAACCACCATTGCAAGCTGAATGAGGAGGGGGCGAGGGCAAGGGTGGAATGCTATGAATGTGGCCCAGCAAACATCACCGCCAAAAAAAATATCAGGCAGCCCGAAACCTCCCGACACCAGTCCAACCTGGATCTCTTCGGGAACTAAGGGAAAGCCCAATCATTTTTAATCAAAAGGTGGTCAGCATCGCCGAAACTGAACTTGTGCAAAAAACACAAAACGAGATTTTGGTGTTTCTTGCCTCCGTTGATCTGTCAGCTAGGAAGTTGGGTGCCTGCCCAAACCCTCAAGGCACGGCTCGCTCCAATCGGCGGCCAGCGCAAATGAAGGGACCACACAGCAATTGCACACATCGTGTGGTCTCCCGCGAAACAAAGGGGCCCCATAATATGAATCACTGGGACACGCGGCCGAGGGGCCTTAGAGCGCCTGTTCGGCCATGGGGAGGCTCCAGAAAAGCGGGAGGGCCCGCGGCTGTTTCTTTCTTCGCCAAACGAACAAGGCGAATGCGGAGTCAGAGTTTTCGGCGGCAGTGCGATGATCTCTTTCAGAGTCATCCCCTTTGAATCTTCTGCAGGCCCTGGGAACGAAATCGATCCTGGTTCACCTGGTCCAACAAAGATAGATCAAGTTCAAATAGACATGGACCAAGGGGGGGGGGCGGAATCCCCTGCAGGACCAGGACTTGTCCTTATCAACTCGACTTCTGGAGGGTAGGGTTTGCCTTAACTGGAAACCCTGGAAGGAGTGGGGTCCTTTTGGTTTTCCTTTCAAGCAATGGATCTTGCAATTGCCAAACACGTCTCCTAAGTCCCCTCATTCATACCCCCCCACCCCCAACCGAGTGATTCATCGGGGTGGGAAGAATCTAGAAACCAACAAAAAAAACTGGACATGTGCTTGGTTCCCAAAAAGCACCCCATGCCTTACCTTCCCCCAAAATGCGAATCCGCCTACGGCCGCGGATTGGACAGGTGACCGATGGCTCCGCGGTGTAGAGCTGCCTCGGCCTCGGACCACGGAAGTCGACCCCAGACGCAGGGCAGCGGCTAGGGGCCAACCGCAGGTTTCAAGGTCCATGTTTCCCTCACTTGCTGAGTCAAAAAAGGTTCAAACTCTGTACTTACCACTAAAATGGTCTTCCCAAAAAGTTTAAAGTTCATGAACTCAGGAAGTGAGTTCCACTTACCAGGGTTCTTTTTCGGTACCAGTTTGTTGAGCCATTCCCTAATCAACCCCTGCTTCTTGATATGGGGGTGTCCATGGTTTTAGTGGGGATTCAGACCACTCTTGGAGTGCAACACCCCCAGATTAATAAGGGGTTTCTTCATCCAAAATCAGTCAACAATATAGCCATTTTCGCGAAACCAAAGTGGGATGCCCATCTCGACCGTCAGGAATATTTTTTTGTTGCATGGCCCAGCTGAGTTGCCACAACCATCCGGCAAAGCGAATCATAAACAGGGCGGCTACCGCATGGCGAAAGCGATACATCCGAATGGGAAAAAGGAAACACATCGCTAAGTTCCCTTTGTCTAGTCTTCCCTACAAAAAGGAAAATGGAAAGTAGAAATGGAAATCCAGGGTCGCCAGATTCCATTTTGAGGGGTGCGGGATGCAAACACAGTGGAAGCATGCGAGCCCTGACCAGCGACCAGGCCAGAGTTCCAAACAAGAGACATCTAACGACACACATAGCCACACACACACAAAGAAATCAACCGTAGGTCAACCCAAGCAGCTTAGATCACAAGACAAGTACATCTGCGTATGTGGCATTGGGTCAAAACTCTGTACCCCTGGTGAACATCAAAATAGGTGGCAAATAGATGTTCCTCCACCCCAAAATGGGATCGCCATAGGTTCTGCCCCATGGCGCATGTGTCAAAATACGTCAAGCTGGGGATCCGATCCACCCACACCGCCTAGGGCCCCTCGCTAGGCCGGGCACGCAGGGCGCTCCGAGACTGCACCTCGGAAGCATGTCCTATGGACCCTCTGAGTTGCGCATACAGCCTAAAGCATCGGAAGGGGTGGTTGGGACTTTGGCGAATTGAGTCATGCTCAGAGCAGGTGTATCATTTTGTCCCTGTCGAAGGACCAGCTTAGGAATGCAGCGCTCACAAAATGGCCGCGCCAGCTCAGAAGTCGCGTCTGCGCTGCAACAATCTTGCCACCTTCGCACCCCGTGCACAGCGCTGGCTCACAAGGGCCGCGCTTTCGCAGCTCGTAAGAGCTCACACACGTGGGACGCGCACGGCATAAAATCTTTCGCGACGCGCAAAGCACCAGATTTCGCAAGCGTCGCGATGGGCTGCAGCTTTGTTACAATAATCTGGATGGACGAAATCCTGCACCTCCTAAAGAAACCCTGAAATGATGATTCCCCAGCAAAGACCAAAAACCAATGGTTTTCATCCATGGCTTCAAAGTGGTGCGGCATTTCGTCCATCCACAATTTTCAATCGCGGCTGTACGGCGCGCTGCTGTGCAACGTGCGCGGAGCTGCTTCTTTGCTTTGCTGCTGAGCCGCTGCAAGCACCCTCCCCTGCGAGCAAACACTCCCCTGCAAGTAAATATGGAGTGGATCCTAAAGAAGCTTCCTCTACAAATGCGCGCTTTTGGGGCTTCCAAGTCAGTGTACACCGCACATCGATGGGTCTGGTAAGGGCCTTCGAACTGCGGTCCCTTAACTCATTGCGTGAAATGCTTTCGGAATCTTCGGACTCGTCTGAGCGGATCCGTCGGAGTTTCGGCGCTCCTTTGCACGGAGATTTCCACTGAGATTTTACCCGACCACCTTGATAGCTGTTTGTTTGTCCAAACACGTTGCCCTTGAAACAGTCACAGTTACTAGTTTAATATTTATAAACAAAAAAACATAAAATAAAAATGAGAGCACTCCTGCACCCTGCTTTTGAGCTGCTTCACCGAATTCCTGAAATGCAACCCGGCATGCTGTTCACCTTGCTTTGAAGGGAAACAAAAAGGAAAACCACCATGTTTTTGGGGGACCCACATGTTACCTAAAGCATTGGGATGTCCTTTTCCGCCACTTCCGAAACATGGAAAGAGAAAACAGTTGCCATTTGGCGCGAGGTTCCTTGACGATGCCTTGACCCTCTTTTCAAGTATCATGGAAGTGCTGCGGGCTTTCCTCATGATTGTCGGAGCACGTCTCCCCATACACACAACCAGAACATCCCCAAATAACCCCATAACAAAAGACACTTCTCACAGGCTTCAGGACTGACACACACCGCCATGGCGGACCTGAAGAGCTTGAGGCCCCCTGCATGGAGAGCGGGAGCTTCGACCTCAGAATCACCAGCCCGAGCCCACTGGTCTGGAGAAAGTGGGGTGTCCCCATGTTCCTTCGAACCAAAAGTTCTTCACCCCCGGTCAGTTCCCAAACCAACGCGAAGTTACCGGGGCCACCATGGGGGTAAGGCCGGGTCCCACAACAAATCGGTGGTCAACTCACTCATGTGAGGGCGCTTCCCCGTGTCCTTGACTTGGCTGCTTGATTTGGCTTCCCCAGGCATGGTTTTGGGTTGACACTTTGGCCCAATCAAGATCAGCTGATGTGCGCAACTGTTGTTTGGGGTCGGTGCTGGTTCGTTTATTCTGTTGTGTGTGTGTGTGTTTGTGTTGGGTTGGGGGGGGTTGGGTGCGTCATAGTGCGGACCGCCAAAATCCTGCACTGGTAGGAAGATAGATGAACAGACAGGAGCCAGCAAGCACAAGCCAAGCCGGGAGACAAACACGGAGACAAGTGGTGAGACCAGGGGGAAATAAATGGGGAAACAAGTTGAGACACAACAGAATTACCAAAAGCAAACCATGTTGTGAGTAGGGACCCCCAACAGCTAAGCTGGTTGGGGAGAAAAGAGACGGTTTTCCCACAACTCGAACCTCACCAAGCAGCGCTCGGCGCTGAGACGGGAAGCCAAAGCGCCATGGTGATGGGTCAAAAAAAAATGGCTCTCGGCTGCGGACATCCCATCTGGCCGATCGGGACCCACAAAACCTTCCTGCATCCCAGACTTTCTTGGACTGAAATCCATCAAAAAGATGCGCTGCATCCAAGGCCGTGTAAGGAATTGGCATCCAAAACTGAGTCAAGAACTCACAGGGCGGTCTGTCCCTTACTATCCTTCATCTACCCAGGTTCCGATTGTGGCTCCACTGGGCAGCAGCTGGACTCTCGTTTCACACCACACAGCAGTGTCCCAAATTGCGCGCAGCTGTACAAATCAATATGTCCACCGGGTTGTCAAAAACAAGGGAGTCCTTTTGGAACCTTGCTGACGTTCTGCGTCGCCTAAGGTGGTCCAACGTGTCCAAAGCCCGACGACACAGATCGCAAGTACTGAGCTTTCAGGGACTCCGGTCACTACAGCGCGCAACATGCACGCAGCACGCAAGATGAAGCTGGTCCGAACATTTTGGGGAACATCACGAACAAGACCCGGCCGCAGCGGCCGCGCGCGGCCGACTTTTTTGGCATCAAGATCAATGTGGCTGAGGTTTGGGCTTGCAAGCCAGGCACCCAGAGACTGCGAACGACAGTGTAGTCCATGACAGTGAATGGAATACACTGTCTGCGGGTGCTTTCACTTTGCGAACCGGGACAAAAATACCTGGGCCAGGATTTCGGATGAGATTCTGCACCTTGGCTTCCCTGCAATGACCCTAGAAACTGGCGGATGTTTGATAAGAGCACAACTCTGCCAAGAGCAATCCAAATTTCCTCCAACTGGGTTCCAAATACCCAAGAGCTAATCAGACAAGCATATCATCCAACTATGCCAAAGTGGGGGGTGAGGCTTTTTGGAAGCCTACAGAGCATTGCCAAAGAATCCTGAAATGAGGGGTTCTGTGCCCCAGTCCCCTTGAAATACCATTTGTTGGGTGAGACAACATTACGGAAAGGCCTTGTTAGATCCTTCGAGGGTGTGCATGCTTTGCGGGGGAAGCCAACGTCTCTCCCGTCCTGCAAGGCCAAAATTGCAAAATGTAACAAATCCAAAAGCCCTGCCACCTGCCTGGTGTGTAGGACTGACCGCAGCCGTGCGCACAAATTCCTTTATTTGCGCCAAGAAAATGGCTGGCCGAGCACCTACCCAGGGGTACTTGGCAGGCGCCCCAAGCGTGAGAAGGTCCTGCTCAGCCCTCACCTAGAAGCCAAACAAAGGGAGCTGTGTCTCTGCATAATCGTCGTACATTGGGGGTATGTATGCAGGACCCCCGCCACCCGTCTTAAGTGAAATACGGCGGTGTGTGCCCAAACTGGCAGTGGAAGGAAACTGCGACATGTCGCGCATGAGGAGTCTTAAAGCATGGGCGTTGCGTGACAATTTTCCGCTGGAGCCAACGCGGCTCAGCGCCGGACTGATCGCCAAATCACGCGCGTAACTTAGCCACAAAAACCTTGCCCCAAGTTGGCGGCGACCGCCATGGCGCATCAATCTGAAAGGCAAGCATGCCATCCGCGTAGCCATAAGGCCATGAGTCCCGCCCCGAGCCGCATTGGCTCCAGCAGAAATGAACTTTTCTTCAATGCCCACGTTTCACGGCGTGAAACTCGCAGGGTTTACGAAACCAAAAGGAAACCACTCATTTCAGGAATTCCCCTAAACCGAAAGGCAACCAGCCATCAATCCAGGTACCTCCCAAAAGCCTGTCAATTTCCTTCCTTGCCAGCTGTTCATGGCTTCAGCTGTGCCGCATTCAGAGCGACCCAAATTTCTTCCGGCCGAGGCAAGTCTCCCGTAGTCACGTGGAACCAAAAAATACTTGGGGAATTCGATTGCAAGCCAATGGCCCATGAAAGCATGTCTGGAAAGATACACATCTCTCAACATGAAATCAAACAAAAATGCTCTCCAAGAGCCCCAAAGAGAGAGGCTCTGATCCCAAAACTGCCTCGTCACTTTTGGTTCCTGCAACTTTATGCGGGAGAGGAGAGCCGTGTGGCTCTTTGATACCAAAACGACCAGGGGACTGATGGTTTCGAACTGCAGCCCTTGGGAAATCAACACTTTGCTTCTTTTCCAAAATGGGTTCGGGGGTTTTCGGCCTTCACGTAACAAAAACGCTTGGCCAAATGGCCCGAAAAGCGTGTGACCCTCGTGAGGTCGGCCCCCTCCAAACACTCACGGTGAGTACCTGTTCTTTCGCCGGTTGCTACCATACCCTAAGTGGGTATCTGGAGGCAGGCGCAAAGACTTAGCGAAAAGAATTGAAACACAGCGGAGTCCCGCAGAGGGAGGCAGAAATCTCTGAGAGATTTGCCTCGAAGCAAGAGTACAAGGCGCGTTGAAGCGCCCAAGAAAACCATGTGCAAGAAGCTATGGCAAGATGGCAGTCGAAAAATGAAACTCATCAGGGTTGTGAGCATTGCCTTGGCTTGTCTCCAAACGGGGGAGACAAAAAGAATGGGTACCTTATATTCGGCCGTCTTAAAAACCAACACTGACATCCACAACACGCAGAAAAGAAGTGTACTCTTTCAAGCCCTAGCCCATGTCACCAAAAACAACACACACACAATGTTCCGGCAACATCTGTTGTCCGGAGCTCTGAGGCAACCCGAAACGAATCCCAAGTCCCAGGGATTCATCTGGGCACCCCCAACCCAAGGAATGAACGGCCTGGCGGTCTCATTCTGAACGGCTCTCGCTCCAGGCGGAGGTCACGGGCGACGACGGGCGCTTCCTGGAAAAGCAGAGCTTTCCAAAAAAACACCTCCGCAGAGCTACGCAAAAACAAAAAAACAGGGGGGTCTAATTTGGACCGCCAATGCTCTCAGCTTATCCTTCCTTGGCTTGGGGTTCCAGTGGTTTGGAGGTGTTTTTCACTTGCCCTCAAGAAGTCAAACCCAAACCACCAATCTAAACCACCGATTGATGATAACCAGAAAATCATATTGAGGTATGTCAGATTCGCCTGCCATCCAGCCAAAGAACTTATTCTCAGAATGAAGGATTACCTGGTCGCCGTGAAACCTTATATTTAAGAGGGAAAAAAAAGGAAGAGTTGAAGACCAGGGGCGGAGTCGAGCTCGTTAGCCCCAAACTTGACAAGGATTTTGATCCCTGCCTCCAGATCTATATTCTCCGTTAGTCCTTTTCCGTTTCCCGTTTTCGCAAGTTCAAAAGGGTGCCCCAGGTTGTTGAAACGCCCATGTGGGTTGGTCGCAAAGCTTCCCCTTTGACTGCCTTTTAAACCAAGGTACTCAAGACAGGCCCCAACAAAACTCGAAAAAGCGACCCCCATTCTTTGGGTTCATGATGGGTTTCATTGCTTGCAATCCTCGGGGGGACGTTGCGCAAACACGACTCCAAGCCTCCCTATCTCCCCCCCGGTCGCCTCTCTCCCGTCGCACGGCGCTAGCTGTCAGAGCCGGCTTCTGTGTTGGCCCCGGGCAAGCTGCCGAAGGACTGCATCTTTGCAATCTCCTGCACACGTTCGCCGCCGCGAGCTGCTGGAATCAAAATCAAAAATCCATATGGGTGTGGCTCAAAAATTTAACAGGTTGGGTTACGCAGGTTTTGGTTTTTGTTTCCATTTACCTAGGGGCCATTTTGGGGACGAACCTCACATATGTTTTGTCATGGACCCCAGGGATTCTAACAACCGCATGAGTGCCAGACAACATTGCTTGCTTCCCCAACACGACATGGGAGCAAGTGTTTGTCTTTGTGGACTTCATGACAAATCTGGGTTGTCCCCCTTCCGACCCTCCCAGCGTTCAAGCGGGCTCGGGCCACAAAACATGAAAAAGCAAAAAAACTACGCACATGGGTCATACGTCGCTCAATGCTGACCCAGGGAAAACCAAATAAGCCATTTTCAAGAATAAACTAAACTCGCTGGTGCTCAGCCATCCTTTGTGCTTTACTCTACGGGGATCAAAGCCTGGGTTCATTCCCGCATTCTCCTACCTTTCGAATCAGCAAGATAAACTAAACCTGAAGTTTAGGTCATGGGGAGGGAAAAATAAGCGAGCCTGCATTGGGCCAGAACAACACATGCCAGTTATCTGTCACCATCTGTCCTCGCGCTTCCGCCGCTGCCGAACCTCCTGCTTCAATTGCTCCGGGTTCTTCGCCAAAGTGCCTCGAGAGATACTCCCATAGTCGGGGATTCATTTTTTGGCTACCTGCAAACACACAGAAACCTGGGGGTGGCTCGTGCATTCCACTCAAGAAGCCCCTAGATTTAAGTCCGTTTGCCGTTTAGTCCGCCCTGGGTTCAAGAACAAAAAATGAAACCCTGCTTCTTGTGACATTTGCTGGGGTGTGCCCAGCTGGGATCTGTGGGTGTGTGTGGGTGTGTGTCGAGATATGCAAATGTGTATGTGTATGTGAGTGTGTGATGTGATATGATGCGATGTGATGCGATGTGATGTTAGTGATGCTATGTGATGTTATGTGATGTGATGTGATGTGATTTTGGCTGCTGTTGACCCCTCTCCGACCAGTTTCACTTTTTGTGGGTCCAATGAAAAGTATGTTGTTTCCCCCAAAGTTAAAGTCTAAAGATCCAACCAAATAGCTAACAAAATAATGTAATGTAATGTGACGTAGCATAACGTAATTCAAGGTAATGTAAAGTAACTGTAAATGTGAATGTAAATGTAATGCAATGTCGTGTAATGTGATGTAATGCAATGTAGTTGTGCACGCATGTGAGTATGTATGTATGTATGTATGTATGTATGTATGTATGTATGTATGTATGTATGTATGTATGTATGTATGTATGTGTGTATGTATGTATGTATGTATGTATGTATGTATGTATGTATGTATGTATGTATGTATGTATGTATGTATGTATGTATGTATGTATGTATGTGTGTATGTGTGTATGTATGTATGTATGTATGTATGTATGTATGTATGTATGTATGTATGTATGTATGTATGTATGCATGCATGCATGCATGCATGCATGCATGCATGTATGTATGTATGTATGTATGCATGCATGCATGTATGTATGTATGTATGTTTGTGTAGGTAGGTAGGTAGGTAGGTAGGTAGGTAGGTAGGTAGGTAGGTAGGTAGGTAGGTAGGTAGGTAGGTAGGTAGGTAGGTACGTATGCATGACTCTTCAAAGCACCACTCTGGTGCTACTGAGGCCTTATTCGCAAAACGGTGCCTCCTTTTTGCCTCATAAGGGTTAGTGCCAAAATGGGAGGATTGCCCAGCTCCACTAAACAGCTCCCCTCAGCAGCTGATGGGAGTAGGATTGATGCCACTCCCACAGCGAGGGAGGAATCCTCCCACCTCACCGGATGCCCTCCCGGCATCATGGGTGAGGAAGGAAAGTAGCGAAGATCAGCTTGATCAATTCGCTTTCGACTGAGGGGAAGACCCGGTTCTCAGTCGGAAATTGCGGGTCCGGATGAGTAAGTTCATCCGCCCACGTGTTAAAGTCGCGCTTCACATGCGACGGCCCCAACATGACCTGCTGGTCATGCAGCGTTAACACAATTTCCATGAGGATGGCCGCATTGGGCATCCTGCGAGTGGAATCGTTAAGAAGGGAGAAAACATTTCCCTGGTTATCACTAGCAACCAGGATCCTAGTGTGAGAAGCCGAGCCGGCTGCACAAAGCAGAACGGCCCTCACCAAAAGGAGGAGGCCGAAGAGCTCCAAGGCCGCTATCGCCCGCTGCGGGTCCCCAGTAGTGAAGGCCCACGGCTCGCCCTCCGGTGTGATTCTGTGCTGGAACCACTTCACACGGGACTTGTCGGGGTTGGGCACGTCCGAGCACCAACCACCAACCCATGCATGGTCTGCCTGTCTGCCAGCTCCCGCATCAGATGCCCCCGTCCATGGGAGCGTGGGAGCAAACGGAGATGCCAGTGGGAACCTCTGGTTGAAGAGTCTCCCCAAAAGGATGGCCAGAGCACGAACCAGCTTCGGTGGCCTGCCCGAAGTGGTGCAGGCCTTCTTCCAGCTCCAAAAGGGCTGGAGGAAAGGTTTCGTCAATGGGCATGCCGAAGTAGCCCATTGAATACGGCCTAGGGCTTGTTCCACCTCCTTGCTGGTGAAGATGTCCCCCTGGGCCAGCCGTTTAAGAGTGGCCAGGATTATGACGTGTTTGACTGGAGCCAGCAGTACACAGGGCGTGATTGGGTCCACCACAAAGCCCAACCAGGTATTGATCGGGGAGAGCGCCGTCTTTTTCCAGGAAAGCGGGACTCCCAGCGCCAGCAGTGTAGCCAGGATGGCTGTGGCGTCCCAGTCCGCCCGGCTGCATCTGAGGACCCAGCAGTAGTCGTCCACAAAGACTAAGTGCCAGTCCACCTGAGGGAAGATGTAGTACAAGAGTCTGAGCACCAAGGATGCCTTTCTTCCCCAGTACAGTTGTGCCGAGGCCATGCCGTACGTGCCCACTCTGTTGACCCACCACCGGTTTTGGATGCAGGCCACCTGGTATTTCCAGTCTTTCGGGAGCACTTTTATACGCCTGTGGGCCTTGGTGACATCCGCCTTGAGGATGATGAAGGTTTCCCCCTGTGTCGGCGGCTGCCACATCAGGGGTTCCACCGGCAGGCTGGTGCTGTGGGGGTCCCTCTCAGGGCCCTCGGCACCTGGGGACTGCCCCTGCACCGGCTGGTGAACATCCCGAGGTCTCTCCTCAGTGCTCGAGAGCGTGGCTCGAAGTAGATGGGGATGGTCCGTCGCTGTCCTGAGCCAGTGGATGGCGTGGAGGCAGTCTCCAACCATCGGTGCAGTGGTCTTCTCCCCCGTATGAGCCTGGATGTGTGCGTTTGCTCCCCCTTTCGAGCCATCGTAGATCGTCCTGATCTTGCCTGACTCATCAATCCCCGCAAGGGGGCCCGGGCAAAGTTCCTCCGGTTTGCAGCGGCACCTCTCTGCCGCCTCCGACCGGGTGAAGGGCCCGTCCACCATGTCCAAGGCTCGTTCCTCGTAAAAGGTTGCCTCGATTTCACTGGCAAAGAGTTCAGCCGTTGGGTAGTTATCATGGGCCACCGGCGGGGGGGGGTCTTCCCCCAGCCAGGCTTCTCCCTTAAGCTCCTCCTTAGTCGGCCAAACTCCGGGGGAGGTCAAGGTAGGGTCCGAGACTCCCAAGGGGACCCCCTCTTTCAGTGTCAGGGGGAACTCCCAATCAGGGTCACCTGAAAGGGATGCCAAGTGCGAAACTAGGTCCAGGAGGAAGGGTTGCCCTGGGCATCGTTCATGGAGGTGCCTAGGTCCCAGGATAGCCCGCAGTCGAGGTCGGCTTCCTGGAAGGGGTGTGTGGTGGCACCTGATGCCAGGGACATTCGGACCTTGTCAATCCAGGGCCGGGTAAGGGTCATGATCAGGGCGCCCAAAGTAGCCAAAGGGGAAATTCTCCGAAAGGGGGGGTTGAGCCTCCCCGGGGAAGGTTTCCCCCCCCCATCCCTCAGGGGGCGTGAGCGGAAACCCAATTGGACAATCGCAACTCGGTCAATGAGGCGTGGGACCCTGAAAGCGGGCAGGCATTCGGGGCGGTCCAGGACCTGGTCCCCATGTTCTTCCTTCCCCAGTTGTTCCGCATCTCCGGCCATCGGGGGCATGGGAGATGGGAAGTCTGGGTTCATTGTTCCACGAGGGCTTACGGTGTCTGCCTCAAGGTGGATGTGCCCGTGCTGGCGGGGCTTCGGGGCATTCTTGCCTCCGGGCTTTGGGCCCTGGTGTGATGAGGAGGGACCGCCTCCCTGATTGGGTCCCCGTTTTCCCCGGGGGGAAGGGCCCTCCGGGGGGTCCGACCCCCGCCCCTTAGGTGGTTCCTTAGGGTTTCCCGGGAATTGTGAGGGGATCCGGATGTGCCCCGGCGCTGCGAGTGACACAGCGATGGCTTTGGCCAGGCCTGCCATCATATCCCAAGGGTATCTGCTAAGAGTCGAGGACTCGTTGGTGCCCACATGTGACTGATGCGTGCACCGCATTTGATCCCACTCCTGAATTGGGAGATCCGTGGCTAGCGTAGTGGCCTTCTTGACCAGCTGGCCCAGGCGGCACTGGTTGTCAAGGAGTTTGCCTCCATCCAAAGCTGCCCCTCCTCCGTGATCCAGAAGGATGAGCATTCCTTGGCTTTGGGCAGCGAGCTGCTCACCACTGGGTCCTCCGGGTGCTCCAAGAAGGACTTTGGCCCTGGCAGAGAAACCGCCGCTCTTGAGGCCCTTGCCAGGCTGGTGATGTACATCTGCCTCAAATGAGGATACTGTCATCATCAAGCTGAGTCTGGGCGGCCTGGTCCAGGTGTGGGAGGCCCCAAAGTGTCTCTCGAGTGCGCCCTCGCACCGGGGTGGGGGCCCCCGGTTTTGGTATGTGGCGCAGGATGGACCATGTCCTGCAGTTGGGTCCTCCTCCAATGAAGACCACTCGGCCCTGCTTTGCTGCCGTGCAGAGAGCTCCATACAGCTCGGGTTGGAGCATGTCGTGGTTCCCTTTTGGTCCCGATCGTAGGATGTCTACCGCCACCACCATGCTGGAAAGGTGTGGGTAGTTGGCATGAAGACAGCTGTCCAAGGAAGTTGGGTCTTCCTTGCCTGCATAGAGCAGGACAATAATGGGCCCACTGGATGGAACTTTGGGTGATGTGCCCTGTGTCCATCTCAGCCGCTGTACCAAACGCTCCGGGATGTTCTCCATCCACGGGAAGATGTCCCATCCCGGTGACGGCTCCGTGGGACTTGTCAGGGGGGTAGCTGAAAGGCGCTGGCCCCCTTCATTCAGCCCAACCGAGCTCTTATAAAAAACCACCGGGTCCTGCTTGATGATGTTGGGCGCCGGAAGTGGGATCGGCTGCCTCCTGGGCGTGTTCCTTGGCGTTGCGGTGTGCTGCCAGTTATCCGGCAATCGGGCCTGCTGGGCGCGGCCCCCCGTGTCAGGGCCCTTGGCACCTGCAGGGAACCGTCCCGTCCCTGCCGTTTCAGGGCCCTCGGCACCCGTGGCTCGGGGCTGAGGCGCCGCCGTTGTGCCAGCTGTGTGGTTGTTCTGACCCCAGCGAGGGTGTTGTGCACGCTGGTTCTGCCGTCCCCATCCTTGTTCCGCCGAGGATGGCCGCCACCTGGCCTGTCCCCCCCCTGTGTCAGGGCCCTCGGCACCTACAA